TCCCTGGGGTGAATGCTAAGCCCCCTCAGGTTGGGCTCTCAGTTCCCTGGGGTGGACGTTGTGCTCCCGGGTGAGTGCAAAGCTCCCTGGGGTGGGGTGAATGCCTAGCTCTGTCAGGGTGGACACTCGGCTCCCTGGGGTGGGTGCTCGGCTCCCTGGGGTGGGAGCCAGGAGTGAACGGGTGAATCAGGCCGGCCACAGCCTGCCTCAGTCCTTCCTTCTCCAGACCAGAGCCCCTGTGCTGTCAGGGTTCCCCAGACCCCGTCCTGCCCCTCTCTGCCTCACGAGTACGTCAGACAGCGGCTGACCACACTGTCTTAGCTCACCTTCCTCTTCCACGGCCCCAGCCCTTCGGTTCCTGAACTAGGAAAGCGGATCTTTGGGGAAAATGCTGCCTTACCAAAAACTTAAAACGTTATTAAGGAAAGCCTATGAAAAGTGGTTAAGAATGTGTCTGCTGAGGGCACAGGTGCAAGTTCGAATCCCCAAGGTGCAACTTGGGAAAAGATGAGGCTGCTTCCATAACGATTCCAAACTGAGACCTACTTCATCCAGCCGGTTCCAGCTCTCGGTGACCCTGCCAGGCTTCCGAGGGGTCATAGGGTCACTCAAGCTTAGTGCCAGAAGGGTGGCTGGGGCCTCCCTCCAGCAGTGCACGCTCCTCAGTGCAGCCCGAAGGGGACAGTGTGGTGCAGTGGAGAACTCTCTGCTGCCCCAAGGGATTGGACGTTTGAGTCCTGACCCATGACTTTCATGTGGCCGTCACCTGTCCAGAGGGGCTGGGGGGCTGCTGGGATACCGCTCAGGTGTCAGCCGACAGCTCACGATAATGAAAACTCAGGGGATCAGCAACTCGAGACCCACTCCCACCACGGGGCCGCGCTGCCTGGAAAGCCCAGCGCGCAGGGCTCAGTAGGAACTGGGGCTGGCTGGCCAGCGGCTACCACCACCCAGAAAGGCCTGGCCATCCCCACGCCATGATTGCCGACCTGCGAGACCCACACGACTTCAATCCCACTCCCATACCTCATCATCCCATACCAGTGGAGGTTTTGGTGAAATTTTTTTAGCCAAAATACCCCAAAACTTTCACCTGGAGCAGACCTTCCCACAGTCACTTAATATTGGTGATTTCCCCCCATTCCAGTGTCTTTCCCCCACATTTTTCAGCTTTCCTTATGTATTTATATCCACTGTATTTACTTAAATATCTGTATTGAAATAACAAATGCAATTGGTACAGTGTCTGGGACCAAGCAGAGGTGACCATCAGAGAGCTGTCCTCACTTGGTGGGGTTGGTTGTTGTTGTTGTTAGATGCCCGTTGAGTCAAGTACGACTCATAGCGACCCGATGAACAAAAGGCCTGAACACTATTGTATCCTGCACCATCCTCACACTTCCTGACACACAAGAGCCCATGGCAGCCATCACCATATCAATCCACCTGGTTGAGGGTCTTCCTCTCCTTCACCGACCCTCCATCCTTTCCAACATTATGTCCTTTTCCGAGGAACAGCACCTCCTAGAAATATGTCCAAAGTATGTGAGGCAAAGCCTCATCATCCTTGCCTCCAAAGAGCACTCAGGCTTCACCCTCTCCAAGACATATCTGTTCATTCTCTTGTCCGTTCATGGGATGTTCAGTGCTCTTCTCAATTCCTTTTCTGTCATCCTTATTCACTGTCCAGCTCTCAGGTGCATAGGTAGTAATCACAAAGACAGTAGTCCAAATCAGACCTATGTTAGTCCTCAAACTGACATCACTGCTCCTCAGTAATCTGGAGGGGTCCCTAATTGCAGATTTTTCCCGCGCAGTAAGTCTTCCTATTTCCTGACTGCTGGTATTAAGGGTATTAACTACGGATCCAAGCAAGATGAAGCCATTGACAATTTTAATCTCCTCTGCATTCATCATGACACTGCCTACCGGTCCAGTGGTAAGAATCTTTGTCTTCTTGACATTGAGATGCAATCCATGCTGAAGGCTACATTCCTTGATCTTCTGCAATAAGTGCTTCAAGTCCTCTTCACTTTCAGCAAGCAGAGTTGTGTCGTCTGCATAACACAGATTATTGATGAGTCTCCCTCCAATCTTCATGCCACACTGCTCTTCACAGAGTTCAACTTCTTGGATAATTTGCTCAATATACAGATTTAATAGGATTGGAGAGAGAATACATCTCTGACACACTCCCTTCTTTATTTTAAACCATGCAGTGCTCCCCTGCTCCGTTCATACAACAGCCTCCCGGACCAGGTTTGGGTTCCACGTGAGCACAATCAAGTGCTCTGGGATCCCCATTCTCCTCAATGTCAGCCACAACTTGTTATGATCCACACAGTCAAATGCCTTTGGATAGTCAATAAAGCACAGATAAACATTCTTCTGGTATTCCTTACTCTCAGCCAGGATCCATCTGACATCATCAGTGATATCCCTAGTGCCACGGCCTCTTTTAAATCCTTGAACTTCTGGCCATTCCCTCTCTATGTACTGTTCCAGCCATTTTTTAATCATCTTCAGCAGTATTTTGCTCACATGTATATCACTGATAATGTTTGATAATTTCCACATTCAGTTAGCTCACCTTCCTTGGGTCGGTTTGATGGATGGAGGGGAGGGCGCTTCTCGGCCAGCCGGCCAGTAGGGATCAGTCCAGAGAAGAGTGTCTCCTGTGTGTCCTGCCTGCCCACCCACAGCACAGCCCATGCTGGCCTGGGCGTGCAGGACAGGAGTTAGGGCTGCTCTGGTCCTGACACTGGCCAGGGGGCCCTGGGCTATGCCCTCACCTGCCATGCTGCGCCACTCATCCACATTTGTCCAGTAAACCTTCCCCACCAGCGAAAGGCACATCCCAGGGACCCTGTGGTGAGGCTAGGGATGGGGGAGGGGGAGACAAGCTGCCAAGGCCTCCCTGCTTGCTGTTTGCCCATTTCCACATTCAGCAACCAACACCATGAAGCATGTATGCACCCAGCACACCGTGTGCCAGAGGGCAGCATGGCTTGTAACTCTGTCCACGCGGGTGTTACCTGGGTAAGGAACACACCGGGCTGCTGGGCTTTCTCCAGAAGTGACCAGAGCTGAGGTGGGTGACTGGGTGGTGGTCAAAGGAGGAGGGAGAAGGCTGGGTCTGATTTCTTTTCAATGCTTAGATTTCCAAGGCTGGGATCCTTGCCAGGGACTTGACCCATGTGTGGGGAGATCCCTGGACTGCAGGTTCGTAAGTAGTTAACAAGTGTCCATGCTTGGGTTGGAACACCTGGAAGAACGCTAAGACAAGTGTCAGTGGCCTACCCACTCCGCCTGAGGGAGCCCAGCCGGGGAATTCAGCCCACCTGAAGGAACTGACCCCAACTGGGGTAACCCAGCCCACCTGAGGATCTCAGCCCACCTGAAGGAATGCAAGAGGCCCGGCTGGTGTCCTGGGCTGACAGCAGGTGGCGCTAGAGACCACCGATCCTGGACACCCTGGCCAGGCCTGGAGGCAGCATTGGGGTCCCCACATGGCACCACTCAGAATGGCCTGGCCAGGCCTGCGGTGTTGGGGTCTACTGTGCCCCCGGAGGTCCCCACATGGCACCACTTAGAGTGGCCCAGCCAGGCCTGCGGTGGTGGTGACCCCTGCCTGCCCTGTGATGCGTGCCTTTCAGTTGGAATGACTCCTAGCCGACCCTCCAGTGGGTTTTGGAAGAGGCTGCCCACTGCGTGCTGAGCAGTTGGAGGGTCGGAACAGTGGGGTTTTGGATTGGGGGCTGCTTCTTAGCACGTGGCCACCACAGGAGAACCTCCTGTTGCTGTGCTCCCCCCAGAGGGTGGTCTTGGTGGGAGGTTTATTTTAATTTGTTTTGCGGAATGACCGCTTGGCACAGCCCTGCTTTACCTGGTTTACTGCTGTTGTTTCTCTAGAGGCCTGTGCTCAGTGCATGTCCCACGTCCCTCCGTTCTGGTCACTCCCGCAGGAGCTCATGCTCCCTCACCTGCTGCTGCACTGTCCACGGGTGACGCTGGAGTGTAAACATCACTACTCCCCCACCCCCGCATGGGGAAACTAATACACTGATACGACTCACTTCACTGCCAGAGCCCGCTGCACTGTGGTGGTCTGCATCGCATGGAGCAGGTTCGAGGCTGGCTGCGCTGGTCCTGTGAGCTGGGCATCAGAGCCCAGCCCTTTCTGACCGGTGCAGGGGCTCTGTCCCCAGCTTGATGTGCCCCTCAGTTTTCACCGCAGTCACTCTTCTCCCCTGGGACTCACTGGTCCGAGCTGAGGACAGCCCCTGGTGAAAGCATGTGGCTGGTCACTGGAAGCAGAAGGGCTGAGTCCACTGGCAGTGCCCAGGGCCCGCGGCCACCTACCTCTGCACGACTGCAGTTAGACATGAGGTGGAGTGGAGTCTGCTCTGGCCCAGGGACGCTGCTGGAGTCAGCTTGCTTTTTATCCTTATGGAGCAAACCCACAGCCTGTCCCACCCCCAGCCCCTATCCCGGGCAGGGAGTGTCACCTGGTCGGGAGGACAGGGGCAGAGTTCCAGCAGTGAGAGGGCAGAGGCACATGCGAAAATTCCAGACTTGTCCTGCGGCCCTCGCTCGGTTTGATGGGAGCGGACTCTGACAGAGGGCTGTGGCCTGCAGCCAGCTGGGTCACAGAGCCACCTCGCTTCTCAGATGAGACACTCAGCGGGAGATGTCTCCTGCCTCCTCCCTGGCCTCTTTTAAAGAGAGGAGCCTGTGGCCTGGCTCAGATGCCTTCAGGCTGGGACTGAGGCTAAGGGGAGCTACCAGGTAAGCTGGCAAGGAGTGGGGGTTCCTAGCCTGGAACCAGAGGGACTGTGCAAAGGGAAAGGGGGTAACCTCAGGACGAAGGTTGGAGCACAAGAGGGGCCCCAAACACTCAGCCTGCCCATTGAGGGGTGGCCGGAGCACCCCCAGGAGTGGCCACACTCCTTCAGTCTTCCGTAGGTGAGAGCTGAGACCCGTGGACGTGGACACCGAAGATGAGGTCCCATCTGCTCCCAGGGCTGGCCCTCTGCCTCCTGACCTTGCTCCTGACAGGTGAGGGACCTTCACCGCTCCCCTGAGGTCCTGGCCCTCAGTCCCTGATGCTGGTGGGAGGTGGAGGTCAATCTGGGGTGACACTGTGTTCTTGCTTTTCAGAGGCCAAGCCTGTGCAGGAGGTGGGTAGGTAGCCCGTTTCCCGCTGTGTATGGCACTTGGGGGTGGGGGGGGGAGCTGATGGAGAAGGAGCCTGGTGGTCAGTGCACTGACTCTTCCTGTCTGTCCTGAGACCCTTCAGCCCTCCAGCAAGGCCCTGTGGGACCCCATGGCCCTCTGAGGTCCCACCCTCAGACCTGGACTCCTGGCCCCAGGCCCTGACTCTGCCCACCTGTAACTCTGAGCTCTGGGCCAGGGGAGGGGCTGCTGTCCCTGGCTCACACCCTACCAGGACCCCAAAAGGGGCATCCCTTTCCTCCTCTCCCCCATTTCTCCCTCCACCCTCTTCCTTTACCTCCTCCCTCTTCACCCATCTGTCTCTCCTACTTCATCTCTTCTTCCCCTTCCTCTGCTCCCCTTTTCTCTGTCCACGACTAGGAGACCCCAAGGGCCTAGGTCCCCCACATGTTCCCCTGGGTGCTGCCCCTTGCCCACCATCACTGTCTGCTCAGGCTGAGAGGACAGCCTTGGGCAGGCAGTGTGCCTGTGTGGGTCTCTGCCAGGCCCAGGGGCAGCCTTGAAGGCAGCAGTGGGCAGGCCATGGGGAAGGGGAGGTCTCTGTCAGGCCCAGGGTCACCTTGGGGGCTTGGTCACACCGTGTGTGTTTGCAGATCCCTACGCCGAGCTGCCGGCCATGCCTTATTGGCCCTTCTCCACCTCTGACTTCTGGAACTATGTCCAGTACCTCCAATCCATGGGAGCGTACCCCCAGATCGAGGACTTGGCCCGCACCTTCTTCGCACACTTCCCCCTGGGCACCACCTTGGGCTTCCATGTCCCCTACCAGGACGACTGAGTGACCAGGAGCCCAGCCTGGGGCGGGAGGGGACTTGCTTCACTCAATAAACTGACTCAAAGCAGATGAAGGCTGCTGCGTTTTCTCTGAGGCACCGCTGTGCCTGGTCCCCCCTCCTTTGTCACCAGACACATTGCCCACCTGAGTCTTGATCTAGGGGTTCTGGTGTTGCAGCGGTTAAGCGCCTGCTGCTAACTGAAAGGCCTGTAGTTCAGACCCACCAGGTCCTCCGCAGGAGAGCGAGGTCTATGCTTCCACAAGGACCCCCAGCCCCCAGAAGCCCCACAGGCCGCCCAGATGTCCCTCAAGGTCACCCAGAGTCATAAGGGAAGGGACAGCAGCGGGGCTGTGCTGGTTAGTGGGGTCACATGTGAGCATTTTCTTAGTGAAGGCAGCTGTCAGGATGTGGCCCCTCCGGCCACCCCAGGGTGCGGGCCTCTCCGACCACAGACAGGGAGAGGGTTCAGGTGCCAGCTCCATACCCGGCACCTGACCAGAAGAAACTGGACAGTAGGGGTTGGAGGGTCCCAGCCCCAGATCTCACCCTGCCGTAAACTGGGAACCAACTCACCACAGGAGGCCAGCCTTGGGTGCAGCAGGTCTGGGTGTCAGGAAAACTGCGGACCGGGAAGCCCTTTCTGCTAAATGAGGACCCTCCAGCCCTTCTCAGGGGGCTCCCCTGTCCCTCCAGTGAAGCCCCTCTTCCTCCTGCCCACCTCTCCCGAGCAGCTCTTGTCTCTAGCCAGCTCCTTCTGTTCCCCTACTTTCCAGGTTTAAACTCTCAGAAGGAAGAAGCCCTTGGCTCAGCCAGTCACTGGGGAATTCCAGCACATTCCTTCTCTCTCCCTGAGTCTGTTCCTGGATGTCTGCTACAATTTAGAAAAGTCCTGACTTATTTAGAAACAGGCCATTTTCTTTGATTTGTTGAGAAGGCTAGATTTTCGGTTCTAATTAAGGACACTTGGACTTCAACCAAGTTCAGAAAATGAAGGTGTCCTTTCCAAAAGGGCCCTTTCCAGGGCCTTGATTTTGTGTGTGCCTTTGTGCACGCGTGTGAATGACCCGCTGACATTCAGCCAGCTGTCCATGCTCCTGTCTAGACTGCCTGCAGTTCTGGCAGCGTGCCCTGCAGAGGGTTGTCTCACCAACTCAAAGCAGGTCTGTGGTAGTTTGAATCCACCAGCAACTTCTCATCTGTCCATGCTCCTGTCTAGACTGCCTGCAGTTCTGGCAGCGTGCCCTGCAGAGGGTTGTGTCACCAACTCAAAGCAGGTCTGTGGTAGTTTGAATCCACCAGCGACTCCTTATGAGAAAGATGTGCCGTCTCCTTCCACTCTGTGGAGCGTCTCTTTGAGTTGGAACTGTCTCAAAGGCAGTGAGCGAGTGAGTCATTGTCTATGCTGTGCTTGTCACCTATGACTCACTGCTACCCTAGGAACCACAGACCTGAACGTTGCCCTATCCTGTGCCATTCCCACGAACTCACACACGCTGACCCCATTACTACAGCCACGGTGTCGACGGTCTCATGAAGGGTTTTCCTCTTTCTCTGACCCTCCATCTCTCCCGGCACGTTATCTTTTTCCTAAGACTGACTGGCTGTGCTGACACCAGGTTCACACACTAAGGAGCAACCTGTTTGCACTTATTTTGTCCTTCTGGCCCCCCATGGGATGTTCAGAGCTCTCCTCCAACAGCACAAGTCAAAGGTATCAATTCTCTGGTCTTTCTTAGTCATCCTCCCACTTTCAGATGCACACACTGTAACTGAAAGTATCATGGCTTGGATCAGTCCTTAGTCCTACCATAGGCTTTAAACTGCTGTCCTCACTCTTCAGCACTTTGGAGAGACCCCTGACAGCCGACTCTCCCAACGCATCATGGCTTTTGTTTGATTGACTGCTGTCGTCATGGGTGTTGACTGTGGATCTGAGTAAGATGATGGACAGATGCTGCCTCACCCTGCAGGTGACCCAAGGCCCCACCGTGGAGCCCCTCCCTGGCCCCTGGGCCACCTCACCTTGATCTCCAAACGCCAGCACTCATCTCTGTCCTCTCCCTGACCACCCTGGAGAACGCTGGCTCGGAACCCCTGAGGGGTCCCTGAGTCTCCAAGGTGAGGTCTGCAGCACTGGCAGGCAAGGCGCATCCTAAATGCCCATCCTCTGTCCCTTTTCCCTGCACTGACCATGCCCCACCCGCACCTGTCCACTCCTGCAGGCCCGGGACAGGCACATCACCTCTGCCCCTCTCCCTGTCCTGCATTCCCTGTTTTCAGATTTATGTTTGTGGCTTTGTTGGTTTTTTAAAATTTTACCCTGGGTATGAAATAAATTCAACTAGCAGCAGAAAGACTGGAGGTACTTCGGAAGAAAGGCCTGGTGGCCCTCTGGACACCAGCCACTAAGGGCCCTGTGCAGCGCAGTTCGAGGCTGTTCACATAGTGTCCGCAAAGGTCCAGTGGGCTGGACAGGCAACTAACAACAGGACCGCCGCAGGCATGTCTGGGCTTCTCCGCGCCAGGCCCTCTAAGCGTCTCCTGCTGAAAGGCGTCCTCGCTGTCTGGACACGGGTGGTCGCACAGACCCCCGGCTAGCGGGGCCCCGAGACTGGGCCGGCGTGGACAGGCCAGGCGGCGGAGGACCATTCAGGAGGCGGAGGACCCCGGGGAGGCGGGGGATCATCGAGGAGAGGAAGGACCATAGAGAAGGCGGAGGACCATAGAGGAGGCGGTCCTCCGGCGGCTAGAGCTGCTGCGGCGGCGCACCGGAAGAGGTAGTGGCGCGCACCGGAAGGAGTTAGAGCTCTAGAAGGGTTGCGGGCCCCGCTTGTTGCCATGAAGCCGGCGGTGGACGAGATGTTCCCCGAGGGCGCCGGGCCCTACGTGGACCTGGACGAGGTCAGCGGCCCGCGCGAGCTCAGCCCGGGGAGCGGGGGCCGAGGGAAGGGCGCCGGGCCGGGGGTCTCGGCGTCCACGCGTGTGCGTGCGGGCAGCCACTCCCGCCGGTTTTGGGGCGCCCCCGGGTGACGCCCTGGAGCCCTCCGCGTGCCCCCCACCTGGAGGCCGGCGTCCACCGCGGGGGCTGTTGGGCGGTGCAGGAGCCCCCCGCTCCCTCCTGGCTCAGGGTCCCTGGGATCTCACCCGGGGGCCGAGGGCAGGAGGGACGGCCGCAGGCCGGGGTGGGGTCAGGGGTCGGGGGGAAAGGTGTCAGGGATTGAGGGCAGGGGGTAGGGGTGACCCCAGAAGAGTGTCCTGCTCGGGGGGCGGTGCCCGGCTGGGGGGGAGGAGGGTGCTCGGCTGGGGGGGTGCTCGGCTGGGGGGAGGGTGTCTGTCTCCGGGGGGACGGTGTCCGGCTGGGGGGAGGGTGCCCGGCTGGGGGAGGGTGTCCCGCTGGGTGGAGGGCACGGTGCCCAGTCGCTGTCCATGGTGCTGCCACCTTCCAGGCTCCCCTTGAGGCTCCAGGTCTGACTCGCGGGCCTGTTGCCCGGCAGTGAAAGGGTGGAAGCCCCGTGTCCTGCGGGTCCTGCAGGGTCCAGCCTCTGCTGGGTGATCTGATGAGGTGGGAAGCCTGGCTCGGTTTGGCCACTTCCCAGGAGCCAGGACGATTCTCTGACTGAGAAACTTGAATACATGCTGCTTGGGTGGCCGAGGGCTCAGAGGTGCTGCCATGGCAAAGGCAGGTGCTGACAGATCCGAGATGCTGGGCGGAGAAGGGTGGCAGGTGGATCTGCAGCCTCCGAAGGCCGCGGGGAGCCTGTCCCCCCTGAGTCGTTAGGAGCCGCGGGGACAGGAGCTGCTGGGACGGTCCTGGCAGCAGGGGGACCGCGTGTGTCCCAGGTCCACGGTTCTGGCTGTGTCCTCTTGGATGACTCTTGACTGGTCTGCCCGCTCCATCCTGATCACACTGACCCTGCCCGTTCACGCTCAGGAGGGGAGCTCCCAGGCTTGGCTCCACTGTCCGCTCCTGCCCCGTTGAGGGCACATGGCACAGAGCCTGACTGCAGATACCGGGTGTCCTAGGGCCCCGCGAGTGTCTTGGTGGAGGTTGCCCAGGACCGAGTGTGGATTAGCAAAGGCCTGGCGGTTGGGATCCCTGAGGGCTAGTGTGGGAGAAGCTGAAGGTCCTGGACAGGGACGTGGAGACACCCTGCCAGGTTGTCCAAGTCCTTGAGGCCACAGCCCCTGGGCCAGCTCCCAGGGTGCCATCAGGGGACACAGCTCCAGCCTCCACTCTGTCTATGAGAGCGATCGGAGGGCTCAGACAGCTCAGCTGCAGTGGTGGCTCAAGAGGCCCTGCCGGTGTTCCCCGCCAGAACCTCAGGGCTACAGCAGCCATGCAGGGCTCTCCCCAGAAAGGGGGGTGTCTGGAAATTGTAGCCCCTCAGGTGCTGGGGGTGGGGGGCGGGGAATGATGGACTGGCTGACTAGACAAGTGTTTTGGGCTATTATTCCATAGGAGTCCTGATGACCTCACCTGAACCCCAAAAGAGAGTGCATGTGAGGGTGAAGCCCTGAGGTCCCAGGAGCTCTGGGATAATGGGATAGTCAGAAAGGGGTGCCAGTCAGTGCGGAGTGACTTGGAGGTTCCGGGGGATAGTGCTGTGCCAGCCAGTGAGTGAGGTAGGGGAGAGTGGAAGACTTGCGATCCAGAGTGGTGTGTGAGGTGGGGAAATGGGGACACAGAGGTCCAGGGTGGTGTGTGTGGTGGGGAAGTGGGGGACATAGGGGTCCAGGATGGTATGTGAGGTGAGGGGAGTAGACATCCAAGAGCCTGTGGGGCTGGAAGACCACAGCACTCATGGCCCCCACTGAGGCCCTTGGAGGAGCAGGCAGTGTTGTGAGGACCCCTGGAGGCTTACACACGGTGCCCACCCCCACCCTTAGAGTCAAGCTCTGGTGTGCCCCGAGCTTGGGTGCCTCCTGTGGACACAGGCTGACCTGATGTCACCTCTCCCTCCCCCAGGCAGGAGGCAGCACCGGCCTGCTGATGGACCTGGCC